GAAGACCTATACAATTTTTTTCTTTTTGATTTTTTTTACCTGGATTACTGAGATGCATCAGGAAATTCTAAAAAGGTTTTGAAGTACAAAGATGGTTCAATAACTCAACCCAGATGTTCTGGCTCTGGATTCAGGAGCGTTCATAAAAACTGTGTGGAGAGACTCAATCCTGCTCATAAAACTGACAGGCTGGTCAAAAAAATAAGACAAGGAAAACAACAAAGACTCCTCCTGTTACACACGGCTGCTTCCCGCCCCGTCTCGTTTTTAAGATCACTGATTGGTTGAGATTATTTTGCTCAAGTTCGGTTTAAACTGCTGACTTAAACTCAGGTAAACATTAAACAGGACACTTCATCACTACATCATCGTTCTATAAACACTAAAAGACAAATCTGTTCTAAAAATAAACACTATGAATAAATTTATACAGGAATATTTTTTACCATTAATTGAATTATCTGAACTCTCATAAGTTCCTGAGCAGCTTCTGCGTACGAACTGTCCCGTTTCAGGACGCCCTTGAAGGCCTCGGCTGCTTCTTCGTATCTCTGAAAGACAAACAAAACAGAGGTCAACGTGACGCGGAACAAAATGTGAGCAAACACCACAAACATGAAGTGATGTCGACAACGTGTTGGGTCTCTATCAATCCACTTAACTGGTTTTCATCACTAAAGACCTGAATGTTCTAAAAATCTACAAAATAAAATGAAAATTTCGCTCTGGAGTTCCACAAGGATGAGCTCTTGGTTTATTTTTATTTTTTATTTTTTGCTTTCCTACAATTCATACAGCAAATACACAGCTGTACACTTTTATAAACTACTGAAGACCCCAGTTTTAGAAGTAAAACTGTCATTTATTAAGCTGGACATCAGAGTTTAACACAGATGAAACTGATCGTTGTTAAAGAGAATAAAACACTGAAGGACAGAGTGCGTACCTTTAGACCTGCCAGAGCTCTGCCCTTCCTAAACAATCCTTTAATCCACCCCGGACTAATTCCAATACACAGTTCAGCGTCGGCCAGTGCCTTCTCGTATTCCTGCAGCTTTTCGAAGCAGAAGGATCGATTGCCGAACAGCCTGCAATGAGAGAGAAAAACAAAAACGTGTCACATATAAACCACAGACTGTGGAAATCACAAACAGTGGATGTAAAGCAGGTTCTTACTTAAACTCTTGAGGGTTGTATTTAATTGCATCTGTGAAATACTTGACAGCCATGTTATAGTCTCCAGCACTGGCAAACTTATTTCCCATAACTGAAAGAAGAAAAAAAAAACCTTTTAAATGAACACTCACTGATAACCTGACTGTAATGAAGTGTAAAGACGTACTTGCAAGATCAGTGCTTATTTTTATGTTTTCTTCTAAAGTGAGGTTGGCCGGAGCAGAGTTCTGTTCACAAAGACACAAAGATGACAATTACGAAGTTACAAGAACAACAT